CACATATTTAGACAGAGATAATGTCTCACGTTATGTCACGCGCTTTTTATTGCTTAATGTAAATGCTAATTGTGTTCGTACGCATTTCCTTTTGCTTAATCCCACTATTTTTCTGCTGCAATATTCTAATTTACCCATGGGGGTGAATATATTTAGACGGAAAGGCTCTTCCAGGAGTGTCCTAGCCTCATAGTCTACACTGCTTGGACAGAGCAGGCTATCGGTGATGTCAACCTGGCGCTGCTTTTCAGGGCAGTAGCCTACAGCCCGGTGTTTGTGGTTCTAGGAAATACTTCGTTCTGGAGTCTGAAATGATACATAAATAGAATGTACGTACGTTTCTGACTTTAAAGTCAGAATTCTGAGAATAAAGTCAGACTTCTGAGTTTAAAGTCAGACTTCTGAGAATAAAGTCAGACTTCTGAGAATAAAGTCAGAATTTTTAAAAAAAATTATGCAGTGGCCCTAATACTCTTCCGTAAGAAAACCGCATTTAAACTGTATATATTTCTATATTTATAAGTGCTTTATTTTTATTTTCCTAATGTGCAGTCCTTTTTCTTGTTTGCACATTCTTTTTCCTTTTTGTTCTCTCAGTTTTATCTTGTTTACTTGGTGCCTTATGGAAAAGCATTTTACACACACATTGAGAGCCGCTGTACCAGAGTCCAATCCTCGTGTGTCCGACACACTTGGCCAATGAAGCTGATTCTGATTCTGATATGTCATTAATGTCACAGCTGGTAAAGATGGGGCTGATTTTAAGTAGTCTATGTACTGCTGAGTAGCTTAACTATGATATAACAGTAGATTAGGTTTTGTATTATTCATCTGAATCTGTAATGTTGCTAGAAACTTAGGTTGTAAAATAGATGTGGTGGAGTAAAAAGTAGAATGTTTCCCTTGTTGCAGAAGTATGATGTAGCACAAACTAGAAACACTCAAGTAAAGTAGCTCAAGACTGTACCTACAACGTGTTACTAAATGTTCTTAGTTACATTCCAACACTGCCCACAGCCCAAAATGATCTGTTTAATAGCTTGTTATAGTATACCATCAGTCCAAAACCCCAAGAAGTACAGCTGGTGCTGGCACATTTTTGGCAGTTTTGCTTGAAATGATCAAAATAGCTAGTCAATCATTGCAGTTTTGTTTTTACTATCACATTAAAACTAAACTAACAGCGATGATGTGGTGTTACAGTTAACTGAGGTCGGTGGGAAGTGTGGTGTCATGTGCAGTCAGACCAACACCACGTGCCAGATCTGATGAGTGTGAGAGAGGATGAAGAATCTAAAATGAATGGATGTATGTTAGAAGTACAGATCCAAACCAGATTGACTTTACATTACATTAAATGATTAAAAAATAAAATGATCAGCAGATGAATTGATAATGAATATAACTGTTAGTTGCAGTTCTAACTGTATGTTTGAGTGCAGTGAGTGTTCGTCGAAGCAGCGTTTTGTCAAATTGTACACAATACTAGTATTTTTGAATATGCCACACAAATCTACCTTTAGGACTGAAAAGTTCTCAGAGTATGTGAAGACTGAGCCATCTGTCTTCTTGTAGGCCTACATGCCCCGAGGTCAGGGGAGAGTGAAGAGCGCTGATCAGTGCGATGCCTCTGCTCTGCTCAACCTCATCAACTACTGTAATCGTTTCCAGCTATCGGATTCAAAATGTGTGAAAGAGGTAAACGTTCATATTGTTTTAGGTCTGTCATTATCGAATTGTTAAGTTAGAAGATTCGTACATGACCATCCAAGTCTTACATACCAATATGAAATGTGCAGGTTCGTGACTGAAACTCTGAAGTATGATTGATTGTCATGTCCGGCGCCATTTGTCGGTTCCGGCGCCCTGTGTTTCCAGGTGATCCGATACAGGAATGAGTTGATGCATTCTTGTGACCTGAGTGTGGATGATGATTGGATGAGACATTACTGGTCCACTCTGAAAAGGCTTGTGCGGCAGTTCACGCATGTACCACAGATGGCAACAACTGAACAAAAGATCGATGAGGTGAGCGTGTTCGTCTGTGTGTCTGTGAATGTGTACCACTGCTGCTGAAATACGTTCAGTGTTGGGAAGCGTTCACTTACTTTAGCGTTGTTTTGTCACAGTTCGTGTGCATGTGCTTTTTTTTTTTTTTTGTTCAGATGTTGACTGTTGATTTGTCGATAAGTTTGGACCAAATGGATTCTGGCGTAGAGTGTGATTCTGCCAGGAAGAAATGGGAGAGCGACGTTGATTTGATCAGCCAATGGGAAGCTGAGTTGCTAGAAGAGAGGCTGCAGGAGTTACTGCATGCTGCTGATGATGATACAGAGACACGGGTGCGAAGAATAAATCCAGATGTCAATGCACGCTCATGCACTTTCACATAATACATGAAAGGAAGATGTCACACGACTTTCACTGACTCCATCTCTTCCTTAGGACACTGAGCAGTTGAAGAGGCTGGGTGGTTTCCTACAGGCCAACAGAGATCTGTGCGACAGGTTTTCTGCAGAGCTCCAAACCATCAACTCCCTGGTGGCCCGAGATTAAGAAAAAGAGGTGAAAGGAAGAATGAGGAGCATATTTTGCACCATTTGTAATTTACTTTTTGAAATATCCAATGGTCAACGTTTAGGTTAAATTTCAAGGGATTTGTGACAGATTGTATGTGCATGAATACATTTAAAACGTCTTCATAAAATACATTGAATCTCTCCTAATGAACTGATTGATCCACTTATTTTTTATTATTTGGATTCATTCATTCATTTTCTACCGCTTAGTCCCTGAACGGGGTCACGGGGGTGGAGCCAATCCTGGCCGGCAATCAGGCGAAGGCGGGGTACACCCTGGACAGGTCGCCAATCCATCGCAGGGCTAACACATAGACGAACAAGCACACGCAGGCACACGCACTCCTATGGGCAATTTAGAGACACCAATCAACCTACGCTGCATGTCTTTGGACTGTGGGAGGAAGCCGGAGTACCCGGAGAGAACCCACGCAAGCACGGGGAGAACATGCAAACTCCACACAGGCCCGAACCCGAACCTTCTCGCTGTGAGGCAACGGCACTAACCACTGTGCCACCGTGCCACCTATTTTGGATTTTAACTTAAAATAATTAATAATCAAAACTGAAAACACAAACATGCCCAACTGCTTTTACTGCCACAAAATAATGAATCTGTGCCAAAAGGAGACGGTAGCAGTGATTGAAAGGCTGTAGGCTGAAGCCATACCTCATTACACCGACCTTTATACTATACAGAAATGAGAAATTTTATTAAGAAGCTGCAGTCTATCAGTAAATGGGAACTACATTCCTGACTGAGGCTTTGATTAAACCATGTAAATTAGCCTAAATCTCTCCAGCAATAAGCAATGAACTATCAGAGCAACGCTTACCAACATGTTAACAGGAGATATTTCTGATTTAGTGTTTTAGGAGTGTTGTGATTTCTGTGTACAGTTTCTACCAATGCTGCACCATGGTGTTATACAGCTGCTACTGTTGTAGTCTAACTGAAAGAGTCTAAACATATAGACTTCTGTATATGAACATATCCTCGTTAAATGCATGGATGTAATTTCATTCAATTAAACAGTGTGACAAACTCATGTTTACACACACAGGTTATCAGAAGGCAAAATGGTGCAGTGGGTGGTAGAGCAGAAGTGAGAAACATCTTATTTTGTGAGGGGCTTTTGTTTTTCTCACTTGCAAAACAGGAACTGAAGTAAAAAAGCTAGACAAAACTAAAAATACACTTTCACTTTTGGGCAGATAAAAGCTATTATTCAGGTTGAACAAAGTGCACAATCTAAGCTGCAGTTGCATGACAGAAAAGTGTGAAAACCAGAAAAGCTTTTCCTGTCTCATACAATAAGCTCTGTCACACTTATCTGCTGCTACAACCTGCTGCACACACTGGTGACTGGCTCAGAGGCAGCATGGAGAGCGAGGGGAGGGCAGTCCAGTCAATTTACTATGGGAGAATTGGAAGCGAGGCCACAGAGAGGCTTCTGGAAAGATTTGGACATGAGGGCAGCTTTCTGCTGAGAGACAGTGAGACCATGCCTGGGGCCTACTGCCTCTGTGTGAGGTGAGCAGCGAGTGTGGCGGTACAAAAATGACCCAGGAAGAACATTTTTTATTCAGTTATGTTGCAACATTGTGTGTTTGTTGGATCATTGTTCAGTTGATTTATCAGTTAATACACTGAGCATGTTCAATGATATATAAATAATGTCTGAGTAATTAGGTTTATACATCATGTAAGGGAAATGTGCCGAAGTGATGCACACAACATCTTATTGTCGGTAGATTTTACAGCTCTGTTTAAAGAAATTTATCAGACTTGTTAGTGATTTCCAGACAAACATTCAATAACAAAGACACAAACAAGTCAGAACTAAATCACTTTACATATACCCTATTATGTCGTTTTTATTTCCTACATTTTTGTGCTTATTTGTGTTTGTTACAACCTTGAAATGTTCTTTAATAAAGTTTGAAGTGATTACATTTTCACGCGTGTTAAACAAAGACTAGCAAATCAGCAAAATGAGCCAAAATGTACCTGGTTCCTGCGAGTGAATTCAACACACTAAAAGTCTTACACACATTTAAAGTATTTGAACTACAGTACGTGTAAAGTGAAGTAATGCTGATGATATTAACTGAACAGCTCTAATAGTCCTGTTTGCTAACGTACAATCAGAAAATGATGCTAGCTGCCTCATTCAAAAATGTGCAGTTTTGTGTTGTGACAGAAAGTTTTTCTTTCTTTACTGGAAATACACATTTGGGCATAAAACCCCCAGATATTCAGTTGTCATAGCATCATTTCAGCTACAGTTTCAGTTCTAACATATTAACCCTTAGCCCACATGAGAAGCATGTGGAGGAGAAAGAAGCGTATTGGTGGATATTTTCAAACTCTGCTGCAGAACAAAACCGCTGTGGTCTCATTTTTTCCAAGAAGTCTTTGATTGTTTCACCGTGAACTTTATCAAAAGGGAACTGGTGTCTGTGATCAACTCAAAGGCAACTTGTACTACAACGTACAGCAGCAGTAGTAAATATATAAAACATAACAAACTAACTCATAGGAAAATAAAACTGAAGACAAATAACTGAACATTTTTAAACCAAATCCAACTCAGCCACCTACAACAGCAAAATGTTGCTGACATGGGACATTTTCTGTCAAAAAAGCACTTTTACTTTTCACACTTTAACTATCTTTTACCGACAATACTTCTGTATTTTTACATAAGGGGGATTTTAAATGCAGTACTTGTAAAGGACTATTTCTGCATTGTGTGAAGTAAACAATCTGAGTACATCTCTACCACTGTCCACAAACCTTTTTTCACTGTACCAAATAAACCAAAAAGCATTCAGAGAGACATCTTCTATTAAGAATTACATATCACAAAGGCAGAAATCTTTGCATCGTTAATACAGGTTCCTATATGGAATTTAGACAGATAAACAATTAATGGATTGTAGTGACAGAAAGGTGGACATTTAAAATAACGAACACACAATACTTAAGCTGCTGTACATTGTAGCTATAAAGAATAGTTAGATATTTCAAACTAACCATATCAGTCTGACCTCTTTCTGCAAAGATTTGTAAGGACTAAGTAAAAATGGCTCTCGCTTCCAGTGTGTCAAACACAACTGAAATCTCTGTTTTCAATTTGATTATTTGCATTCACTTGTTTAGTTTCAGAATTTACACATTTCGCAGCAAATCATTCAAATTTCTGAACTTTGTGTTTTGCAGGAAAGCACCGTTTGTGCACACTTACAGACTTGTACACGCCACTGATGGCTGGTCTCTTCAGGTGAGTGAACGTCTGCACACAGGTTGTCCACACACAAAAGACACATTAATAGTTTGTGTGTGTGTGTGTGTGTTTGTGTGTGGTTAGCAGGATTCTGGAGTGAGGCTGCAGAGATTTAGGACATTGGAAACACTGATAGAGAGCTACAGAAGGGGCACGGCATCTGGTCCCTGCATAGCCTCTCTCACAGATCCCCTGGACAAAACACAGCTACAGGTCCCCTTCGGACAAGGTATGACACACACCCACATGCACACACAAATATCCTGACATATCTCCTATATCTACGGTTAAATCTTATCAACGTGCCCACACACAGACACGTACAGACAACCACACAGTATCTTCAGTGTGCATATCTGTGTTTGTGGTGCATCAAAGAGTTCTTTTTCAGCTATGACATGTCTGTCATGGCTCACAGCCTACTCACTCAACTCTAACATCCTTTCAATGTTCTCGTCCACAGACTTTGTCTACATGGAAATGAAATAGCAGCAGCAGATCTGCCTGTTGAGGCCAAGCTTTAAGTTCATCAGGTGGACAAAGTGAGGATGACAGAAACATGGCACATGTGGCACAACAAGGATCTGGACTTCTTGCAGGGCTTTATTTTTTTTTAATCAATATTTCTGAAAGGAAGAATGAGGAGCATATTTTGCACCATTTGTAATTTACTTTTTGAAATATCCAATGGTCAACATTTAGGTTAAATTTCAAGGGATTTGTGACAGATTGTATGTGCATGAATACATTTAAAATGTCTTCATAAAATACATTGAATCTCTCCACTGTAGTGGCCTCTTTGTATGATATTTACCCACTGTAGTGGGTAAATAATCATTTCAATTATTTACCCAGTAAAATCTTGAAATGTTTTTAGTTGTCTGAGTGAGTGTGGGAACAGTGTGTTTTTGAAAGAGATGCTGTGAAGATCTACTCTGATACGATCTCTGTTTCTGTGGTTTCCTTTTGGTAGACCTATGTTTTCAGCACTGTTTATGTATCTCTGCCTGTCAGTACACAAATAGGTTCCACCCTAAAGACTTCAGCATCTGGTCACTTATGTGTATTATGATGTTTTGTGCTGTAAAGAAAAGGTATTTTGTGGTTATAATATTTTATGCACAGACTTGATAAGTGATGTGTTTTAGATCAGCTTGGGTAAGTCAGGGTTGTGTGCAAGGATCCTTTGATTTGTCTGGTTTGTGTGCATGTTCCTGAAGCCTCTGTAGCAGACTGGCCTCACTGGGCGTAACAATGCAGGAAGTGCAGTAGTGCAGATCATAGAATCTATTTTGGAAACACTGCTTTTTTTAAATTCATTTTTGCAACACAAGGTTCTTCTCAGACATTGAATATACTTAATCGACAATCCCATTTTCACGTTTTACAACAAGCTCTAACTGATCTCAATCAGGTGTAGATGTGCTCCCACTGTTGCCAGTAAACTTGCCTTGAATGGCAACAGTTTGTCAGACTAGTTTTGGTCTGGCTTAACTTTAGGCTTAAGCAGCGTTACAGTCAGTCTGTCAAAGTAAAACAGTGTTTTCACTAAGGTTCCTTCCCACATGTCACACTGATCACAATTTGGCACAAGCTGCACTTATTGCATACATGAAATGTTTTCCAGCTTTATCTGCAAAGTAATCCAGTCAACATATTTTGTGCAAAATGCACTGTGATGAAACTAATGAATCCATGTCTGCAGCCACATAGGAAGTACAGGTGAGCTGAACTCACAATGATGTGATTACTATCAGAGCGCTGAGCTAAATGGTTTCAGCAGGACTTTGTCTTTAGTTGATGGTCTAAAGTTGCAGTGATTCTGTTTAATTTTACTGTAATATTTTATTCTGTGTAAATATATCTGCTGTTTTGTGCAAAAATGTTTGTTTTTAGTTTACAGTGAACTGATTTGTGATTGATTTCTCTGGTCTGTGTTTCAAAGTCAGTTTTTAACTTGACTTGATTTAGTCTAATTTGAGAAGCTCGGAAATGGCTAAACCTTGTCCAGTTTGTTAGTCATTCAGCTGTTAATAGATGCTGATGTGGTCTGAAATTAAAAAAAAAGGAAAAGCATATATTAGTTGATTTCACTACATTCTATATTTTACCCTGTAGAGATTTTATTTCAAGTGTATCTAAATCTAGAGTTTTTCCAATTTGAAACAGAGCTTTGTGAAATAAACTGTCTTTTAATTTTTAGCTTGACTGAGATGGAATAAACTGGGGCAGAAATTAAAGCTGATCACCTGATTTCTTTGGCAGATTTAAAAATATAAGTCTCCCACTTTTTCTGCATCTGTAACATTTAGATCTGTGCGAAGTGTAGGTGTGACCAGTGTAGGAGTGACCAGGTGTAGGAATAATGATGTATTTTGGGAAATAGAAGTATTTGCTTTCTGGCAGAGAGTTGGATGAGAAAATGGACCCATTCTCATATCTGTCTGTAAATATCAGCTGCTGCCATCCGCTACTTAGCACAAACTCTGGAAGCAGGAGGAAACCGTATAGTCAGCAAAACAGAAGTCTATTACTGTCTTTCCACTTCTGCCAGGAGCTGTGTTGTACCCATATCATACCGGGGTTTACGTGTTTCGATTGTCTCAGAAACAGACCGTGTCCAGGCTGAAGCCTGGCTAAAAAGCCTGATATGTGGCTCGGTTCAGGTCCCAGAGTGTGCTACTGTGCCCCCAACATGGCCACCTACATCACTACATTCAGAGAGAAAGTTTGACCAACAAGAGGGAAAACAGGAAGTGTCTCAGCTGAACAAATGCCCACCATCTTTAAAAAAAGACAAGAAAGGAGAAGAAGGAGAAATAAAAGGAAGCCAGTATCAATGTCCATTCTGGTAGACAGCACCATGACCTAGCCTGCTCTGCAAGAGCAACACTCAAACTGTGCAATGGAAACACATGTAATGGGCAGCCTGGGACAGGAGCTGGCCAGCTGGCCTGAGTACGACACGGCTCCCGGTGGCAGCGGAGTGATGGCATATGTGGAACAAACTGTGAATCATTTTTCAAATGCAAACAACTGTTTTCAAAATTGTTAACACATTCAAGACAGAATGATGGCAAATTGTGTGCATTTCTGCAATAGCCTAAAATATCTACAGCTGAATAGTTACAATGAAGTGAAATAATAATCATTCTAAACACAGGTAACTGCAGTTCCAGCTGAAAGCCTACCCAGGTGTCCTGTGTTTTGTCTGGTTGCCATCTTTTGCATAGTGAAAGGGAATTTTTCACAAGTACATTACTATATGAAAAGATACAGGAAGAAATAGTGAAGCAAATCGTTCCATTTCTGATTCATTCTTACTACACATACATTAATAGTCAATAAGGTGAAAATGTGTTATTTTAAAATGAAATAGTGATATGTGAAAAAATAATTCAAACTTAAAAGATATCATATATGTAATGTTACCTGTTGTTAGTGCTTTTTACCTCCGTGCACTGCGTGGGATGATGTGTGCCTTCTGAGGGAGAATTGTTTCCAGTGTTATTATGAGATATAGTTTGAGAGAGTTTTGGAGATGATATTAACTGTTTGGCTTTTGATGTGACTTCACTTTTGACAGATTCTTGTTAGCAATTGAGAAAAACTGTAATAAATGAGCAGATGACAACATATCTCTCAACTTTATTTCACACATTAAACGTTGCAAACATTTTGTAGAAGCACTAGATCAACATTTCAGCTGCAGCTAACAGCTACCTCAGACAGAGCAAGTGCATTTTATCAAAACTAAATGGACAAATTCCTTTTTGAATTTATGACTACAAACTATTTACATTCATGTGTTTTGATTTGATTTATTTATTCTTTCAAGCATATAAA